CTTGTTATTCTTGAATGTTTTGGAAAAATTAAAATGATTACACAAATTTCTCTGATCTGGCCAAGATTTTTTAACTTTTAGGTTTCAGGTTTTTCGTCTTGTTTTGAGATTTACTTTCGACTTACTAGTTCTGAAACTGCTTAATTTTTGAGTAGATGTCGTTTTTTTTTGAAGATAACTCGTCAAGTAAAGTGACTTTTTCTGATAATTTCACTACTTTTAAGTTGTTTTTTGATAGATTTAAACGTTTATATCTTAAATTTTTCAGTTATTCTTGGTTGTTTAGGACACTGTAAAACCAACAAAATTTAAACAATTACACAAATTTCTCTGATCTGGCCAAAGATTTTAAAACTTTTATCGGGTTTTTCATCTTGTTTTGAGATTTATTTTCGACTTACTAGTTCTGAAACTGCTTAATTCTTGAGTAGACGTCGTTTATTTGAAGAGAACTCGTCAAGTAAAATTATTTTTCAGATAATTTCACTACTTTTAAGTCGTTTTTTTGATAGATTTAAGTGTTTATATCTTGAATTTTTGAGTTATTCTTGTTCTTCTTGGGTTTTTTGGACACTGCAAAACCAAAAAAATGAAAACGGTTACACAAATTTCTCTGATGTGGCCAAAAATTTTAAGAATTTTATCAGGTTTTTCATCTTGTTTTCAGATTTATATCGACTTAGTAGTTCTGAAACTGATTAATTCTTCAAGATAACTCGTCAAGTAAAATGATTTTTTCAGATAATTTCACTACTTTAAACTCGTTTTTTGAAAGATTTAAGTGCTTATATCTTAAATTTTGGAGCGCACATGGTAGTAGAAAAGAAAATATTAAATTTAATGTTGAAAATCACCTTCTACTGTCTAAAAAAAAAAAAAAAAAAAAAAAGAGGAATTTCAGAATCTATTTTGAGTCTCACGTCTATTTCTTCGCCGTGACAACATTAAACGCTTGCAAAACTGATTCAGATCAAAAAATAAACTTCCTGTTGGCTTTACTAAGAAAAATTAGGTAATAAAGAAGTTCAAAAAAAAGTCATTGATACACTAAAGTTTCCCCACACCGGCTCAGTTTGCACTTGCTCGAGTTCTGCAGTCGCCCTGGGGCAGATTGACAAAGACTTGGCAGGAATTTTCTCCTTTCTGCTTCTGCTCCTGCGCCCCTCCCCCCCCCAACCCTCAACCACCAACCGGATCGTCGCTCGGAAAACTCCCATGCTCGCAAAGTAGGTGAAACGTCTTGCCCAAGGACACAACGGAATGAATGAATGAAGCGAAGCGGAGGGGTGTGGAATTCAACACCGCGCTCGGGTACTGCGCCGAATTACGGATCAAATGACGCCAACCTGATGCGAAAATTGGGCAGATTTTGTGAGATTTTCGTGTAATGTTACCAAAATTTCGATATCAACGATTTTGATACAAAGATGACGATAAAAACGCTCCATAATGTGATTTTCAACGTTAAATTTGCACTTTCTTTGTCGTATATTTTCTTTTTTTATATCTCTGTAATCCCTCGGTTTTATTTTTTCCGATAAAGCTCAAGATTGTTCGAAAACCGTTCCCGAAAACTTCATTTCCGTCTTTTTTTCATATCGATACCGGCGAAAAATTAGTATCTAGTTTCGATACTAGTCTCAGTAACAATTCATATCTGATAAGTTTCGATACGACCCAAATCTGAACTGCTTTTTCGATCTGTTTTTATAAAAGTAACGATTAAAATGCTGCTAATTTGACCTTAGAAATGCGGCATTCTTAATTGTCACCAGCAGAGGGCGCCAGACAAAAAATAAATAAAATCAAAGCATTCTCTCTGTAAAATTGTATGGTCGTTATATGTTTTCTGTAAATTATTTCAGATTATAAAAGTGAAATGGAAAAATAAAAAATTTCGATTCTGAGGAGTAGTTTTCGATACTCAATACCGATTTTGATACAAAGATGACAATAAAAACGCTCCAGAATGTGATTTTCCACATAAAATTTCTACTTTCTTTGTCGTATATTTTCTTTTTTTATATGTCTGTAATCCCTCAGTTTCACTTTTTCCGATACAGCTCAAGTTCGTTCTAAAATTCTTCCCGAAAACTTCATTTCCGTCCGTGAATGAGCCTTTTTTTCGTATCGATACCTGCATAAAATAAGGATCTAGTTTCGATATCAGTCTCAGTAACGATTCGTATCTGATAACTTTCGAAACGACCCAAATCTGAATCGTTTTTTCGATCTGTTTGCATAAAAGTAACGATAAAAACGCTGCTAATTTGACTTTAGAAATGTGGCATTCTTAATTGTCACCAGCAGAGGGTGCCAGACAAAAAAAAGCAACGCGTTCTTTTTGTAAAATTGTATGTTTGTTATATGTTTTCTGCAAATTATTTGAGATGACATCGAAAAATGAATCTTATCTTTAAACAAATTTGAAAAAAAAATTGTAAAAAAAAAGTAAAAATATCGAGTATAAATGTGCACTACGTCATTTTTTTGAAGGATTGAACACGACCCGATTGTTTCCGTGGAGATTTTTATTACTTTAACAGGAACGTTCCGCAGTTTTAAAGCGTTAAACGAATCGATCTTGAACGTCAGGTGTTATATCTACCTTGAAAACCGTGCGTTCTTACTGCTTGCATCGTCGCCTCTCCGCCGATCTGACCTGTAACTTCACCTTCTCCGTGGAGATAGACGAGCTTAATACCGTACCGTGGAACATTCGGGGCAAATTACACATTTTACGCTTTAACTCGTTGGATTCTGGATGAAATACTCTGCCCAAGAAACCCCCCCCACCCCTCACACCTCCCTCCCGCCGCTGGGGGCACGATTACTCTTTCTTTCTCCCGTATTTCTAACGCACCGCCTCTGCTCTAAATACTTAAGTACATATTTACTTTGTAACGCTCGCTCCGTGGACAAACACCCTTAAAAACCATTCCTGCGTTTTACTACTTTCGCTACTGCTTTGTCATTCCACCTTTTTTTTTTCTCTTTTTTTTTTTTTTTTTTTTTTTCGTGAAGTCGTAAATCACAGCTGTCAAAATTCGCACGATTACGTTAATATCCGGACGCAAGGCTAAAATAAAACAATGAACAATGATGAGAAGTGGGCAATAACGCGAGCGAGTTGGGAAGAGTTGGAAGGCAGGAGTCGAAAACTGAGCAGACTGCGCGCAATGCAACCGAGCGGGCAGAGAACGGTGGACGTGGCACCTACTCCGCTCTACACGTCAACCACGCTTCCATATGTTGCCCATTGCGAGCGCGTAAAACTTACCCAAGTACCATTTACGCACTGGCACCTGCCCAAATCCTAACGAATGCGTCAGAACTCGCCGTGTCTTTGGTCAAATCGCGGGGTTAGTTTTCCAGATTCGCCTTTTCGGACTGGCTCTTGTGTGCTGTTGCGCGCGGCCGTGCGTGCGTCGTAACAGCTGTGGATCCAACCAGTGCATCGTCAACGAGTTAACTCCTCTGCTCCTAGTGCAAAGTGCTCAGTCGAACGCGTTTTGGGGGTTAAAAAAAGTAGTTCTTTGACATAAGCTACGCGCGTAACAATTTGTGCTCGGGCCTGTGCGTAAAAACACATCGCCAGCACGTCCTCGAACGCGTAAAACTGGCAGCAACATTATTTTTCTGAACTAAATGAGACACGTTCGTCCATCGCCGCTGTCTCCCCGCACCAGCTGCCCACGGAACCAGCTCCGATGTAAAAGTAAGCGGATTAACACCACGCTAACACCAACTCCCGTCAAAACTGCCGAGGCGTGAAGAGCCCCGCGCGGACCCTGACACTGTGAGCAAATAGCGCGTGCGGGATCGTGCGCCGCGGCTGTTCCGAGGCCGGTGCACGGAGGAGCTCACCGGAGACGTGGAGTCCATGGCTGCGGCCGCTCGGTGTGTTGACGTGGACAGCTCTGAGCTGTCACAGCGAGAGCACGGAGCTTTTTTCTCCGCGGAGCCGCTGGGGGCGCGCTGACGTCGACGTGTCCGTGAAGCTACGGGAGGCAGAGCGCGAGGGACTTCCGCACGGGGACTTCAAAATAAAAGCGCTTTCAAAGAGGCAGAGACCAAGGATGTAGTTAAATAAGACAGGCAGAGACAGGTTTCCTCATTCAGACTGTGATCATACTGGACAAATATCATTTACACAAAACAAAATGGACTCAAAATAAACTAAATGGGCACCATTATAATAAAATAATGATAATATAATAATATATACTTATCCTCAGCCACTGCACAGAGGACTAAATGTTGTCATGATACCAAAAATGTAAACTTAATTTTGATACTAAGGAATTGGTTCAGTACAGATTCTGATATGATGTTATGGCCCCAGGCCTTAGATTGTAATTTGTTTTGTGTGTTCTAAATGATTCTGCTGAAACACCTTCAGTCCTGCTGTTGGAGCCCTGGTTTGTGATTAGTGGGGCAAGTCTACGCTCACCTCACCTGCAGCCACCTCCCCCTATTTAAGAAGATTGCCTGCACCTGTTCGTGGCTGCTGACCTTGGTGGCCAGTCTGACATTTTGTGTTTGTGCTCGTGTGTGTAGTTTAGTTCTGTTTTGTGCCTTCATTTATTTGGTTATTCGATTCTGTTTGTGGGCTTATGTGGTTTAATTTGGGGAACTTGTGTTTTAGTTTGTGTGTGTCCCTTAATTTTACCACTCGTTTTGTGGCACAAAACTCAGTTTATTCTGTTGGTCTGTTTCTTAGTTTAGATTATTTTCTGTATATTTTAGTCTTTTGTTAATTTCCATTTTACATCTTGGTTTTATTTTTGTTACTTCCCTGTCCCTAGCAGAGCTGGGTCGTAACATATGACAATGAAAACAAATTTAGACAACAGAATGTGATTTTCAACATTAAATGTCGTGCTCTCTTTTATATTCCCACGTGGCCTTATATCTAAGCCAAAGATGTTCATTTTGTCTTCTTATGTACTTTAACTTCTTGGGTTCTTTTTAAAGACAATACAGTGAAGTGTATTTACCTTGTTGTTGTTGTTGTTTACATCTTGTTTATATCTGTGTAATCTCTCGTGGTCCATGGGCGTAGAGTCTAATTTTATTGCATCTTGAGCCTGTCAGAACAACAGATCGTAAGACATGATATATTTAGTTTATTTTTCTATTTATTGCACTTTTAATCATCATTACATTTTTTGTATTATTTTCAGGAGAAAACTCTAATACTCTTAAATTACCTCATTTATATTGATTAAAGATTTGTGGATCGTCTCCAGAGGAACAATAGTCTTCTTCTTTAGTCTTTACTTATTTATTTATATAGCGCTTTTCACAGACATTTTTTGTCCCCAAAGACACTTTACAGAGCATTATTCAGCATTATTCATTCACTCTATACCTGGTGATGGTAAACTACTGTTGTAGCCACAGCTGCCCTGGGGCAGACTGACAGAAGCGCGGCGGCCATGCCAATCGGCGCCAACGGTCCCTGAGAGACTGTAAATCGTTGTCAATCAATCTCCTCTGTACTGTGTCTCCTGTTCAGTAGAGAATGTGTTCAGTCAAATTTACATAAATGTTCGATCTCTAGCAGAGTGATTCTGAAAACCCACAATGTCAACAAAACGTTCTGCATGTTCTGTTAAAGAAAATAAAGGTTTTACATACACTGAATGTGTCTTTTACAGTGTATCTTATGTTAAATTAACTAAAATAAAGTGTAAAAACAAAACACCCGTTAGTGTTGTTTAACGACATCAGGATTACCCTACAAAGTGTTATCTGTTTACTCTCAAAACATTAATATAACTCTTGATTTTGGGGTTAAACGGGAACTATGGTTCAGTGTCACTTCATTTATCGGAGTGTAACGATATCCAAGTCTCATGATACGATATCGTCACAGTATGAACCTCACGCTACGATATTTATTGAGATATCATGGGAAAGCTCACGATATGTTGGGGAGTCTCACGATTAGAGATGTAACAATTTTCACAAAATACATCTCACGGTACGATATTTGTTGCGATATTTTGCGTTAATATGCTGCTTTTTCCTCTTAAAATACCTCGACAAGACTTAATCCAAAGACTTAAAAGTGTTAGAACTGTTATTTCTTCCTGTAGTCTGCGCTGAAATGGAGCAAAGGATCATGGTCTATGTAGTTCCCTCTGTCTTTTTTTTTTTAGTTGTTACAGCACCGTAACTCTTATATTAAGCAAAGAGACTTGTAATTCGATTTATTATGATGGCCCACGATATTATTGTGAGAACTTTGACGATACACTGACATTTCCAAACATGTTACATTAACTCTAGAACAGAATGGACTCATAGAAACCTCGAGAAAATGTTAAAATTGATTCTGTAAGAGTAAATTTTAACATTCTACGTTTTGAGAGTTTTGGGTCATATTTGTAGCCTAAAATTATTTCTATTCGCTTTTAAACAGAAAAAAAAACACTTACATGAAGACATTATTGTTTATCTTTTTCTCTCACGTGATCGTAGCTTGACTTCCGTGCACGCGCCCCCTCCGCCGCCGTACGCCACGCCCCCCTCCTCTTCTCACGGCGCGGTGCATTGTGGGAAATCGAGTTTTGTGCGTGCGCAAAGATGGCAGGCGTGCGGCCGCCACCCCTGCGGACTCTGGAGGACTTCGTTCTCACCTCGGCTCGGTTCGCGGTTCCCAACGTGCGGGACCCGGACCGCTGGCACAACCGCGTCGTCAACAACCTGCTGTACTACCAGAGCAACTACCTGGCGTGCGCGCTGCTCTGCGTGCTGCTCGCGGGGTGAGTGTGCGGACGTGGGCACATCCTCTGGCTCTTCTCTTCACTGAGGAGAAAGGATGGAAGGACCGAGCAGGAAAAGTTAGACCAGGACAAGTTTGACAGTTTGGTTTAGAGCGCGGACCAAAGGATTAATCCATTAGTGTAACGTGTAACAATCCGAGTATCGTTCGTTTTTCAAAATAAAACCAAAAATAAGAAAATGAAAAAACAGTCCTGGTTTATTCCTGGTTTAGACCAGGTTTAGACCTGGTTCAGTCCTGGTTTAGTTTAGTCCTGGTTTAGACCAGGTTTAGTCCTGGTTTAGTCCTGGTTTAGACCTGGTTCAGTCTTTTTTTAGTCCTGGTTTAGATCTGGTTTAGACCTGGTTCAGTCCTGGTTTAGTCCTGGTTTAGATCTGGTTTAGATCTGGTTTAGTTCTGGTTTAGTCCTGGTTTAGATCTGGTTTAGATCTGGTTTAGTCCTGGTTTAGATCTGGTTTAGTCCTGGTTTAGATCTGGTTTAGACCTGGTTTAGTCCTGGTTTAGTCCTGGTTTAGATCTGGTTTAGATCTGGTTTAGTCCTGGTTTAGATCTGGTTTAGATCTGGTTTAGTTCTGGTTTAGTCCTGGTTTAGATCTGGTTTAGATCTGGTTTAGTCCTGGTTTAGATCTGGTTTAGTCCTGGTTTAGTCCTGGTTTAGATCTGGTTTAGATCTGGTTTAGATCTGGTTTAGTTCTGGTTTAGTCCTGGTTTAGATCTGGTTTAGATCTGGTTTAGTTCTGGTTTAGTCCTGGTTTAGATCTGGTTTATCTGGTTTAGTCCTGGTTTTATCTGTTTAGTCTTTAGATCTGGTTTAGATCTGGTTTAGATCTGGTTTAGATCTGGTTTAGTCTGGTTTAGACCTGGTTCAGTCTTTTTTGAGTCCTGGTTTAGATCTGGTTTAGTTCTGGTTTAGTCCTGGTTTAGATCTGGTTTAGTCCTGGTTTAGTCCTGGTTTAGTTCTGGTTTAGTCCTGGTTTAGATCCTGGTTTAGATCTGGTTTAGTTCTGGTTTAGTCCTGGTTTAGATCTGGTTTAGATCTGGTTTAGTCCTGGTTTAGTTCTGGTTTAGTCCTGGTTTAGATCTGGTTTAGATCTGGTTTAGATCTGGTTTAGTCCTGGTTTAGACCTGGTTTAGTCCTGGTTTAGATCTGGTTTAGTTCTGGTTTAGTCCTGGTTTAGTCCTGGTTTAGTCCCTGGTTTAGTCCTGGTTTAGTCCTGGTTGTTGTGATCTCAGCCAACACTGGGCACTACAGTTTTCTAACAGGGAGATGAGGACTTCTTTGTTTTTTTAAGTTGATTTAGATCAGGATTGTCCAAACTTTTTTCATCAAGGGCCACATCTCTAAACACAGACGAAGCCGAGGGCCGATCGAGGGCTGAAGACTGGAGCTCAGTACAGGGAAATAATTGAAATATGTGCATGTTTAACACGTTAGAATGAGCCCTCAGTCTTTATTCATGCTAAGATCCTTAAAACCACAAAATAAATATTAAATATGAGCTTTATCAAGGTAGATTTTCAAAAAACCTGCAGTAAAAAAATATTTGTTAAATGATGCAAGTTCACTATTCCAGTGTTAAGTTCCTGAGTGATCGTGCTAATAGGAGACGATCGGGGTAGAATTGGACCCTCCTCTTGTGTGTCTCTGGAGAGGCAAACCCAGTATTGTTCTGCTGACCTCCTTTGGTCTTGTCTTGCTCCAGAACCAGGATCTGTTACACTGGAATGTGAAAAGACAAAAGACCTGGGAAATCTCACATGGGACACGTCTCCTCGGTGTCAAACATCCACTGGGAAACTCACGGTCCTACACAGGCCTGGAGTTACAACGTGATATTATATGATTGTAATAAAACCATGATAATACAGATTCTGTTCAGAGCAGCCAGAACCTGAAGTATCACAGTGATGTTATGAGGAGTTAACCTGATTCATCAGACGGTTTCACTTTGTGGAAACCGTGTGACCTCGCAGTGTTAGGATTCGTTTGCTCAATGGTAGGTGGGTACTTTTTATCATCTAACCAATTATTATTGTTATTTGGTCATGACGTATGTACTGCGCCGCTAATGGGGCTAACTGGTATATTAAACGTTTCCCAAATCCCGTAGGAAGAAGGACAATAACGTCTTTCCCCTTGATAAAATCACCAAACATTCTCTTTGTTCTGGCTTTAAATCCTCAATCTCGGAATCAACACAATGCATCAATTTCATATAGCGCTTTTTTGGACACTCAAAGATGCTTTACAAACCATTTTTCATTCACTCCAGACACAGTGGAGCTAAACTACTACTGTAGCCACAGCTGCCCTGGGGCAGACTAATGGAGGCTGCTTCTGAGATCTGATGGGATCAGGCTTTGACAAGCCGGTATGGCCATGAATATTTAAACTTAATATTTATTGAAAAATTTCAACAAAATCTGCATGTTTTCTCTCCTTTCGAGATCTGTAATGTTAAACCTTTTCATATTAAAATAAATGTTTAATAATAGTTTTGCTTAAACATTGAATCCAGAACAAGAATAATATAAAATAATAACTACATTTTAGTAAATAATGTGTCTATAGTCGATCTGTAGTCACTGGGCAGCTCTGATACATATTTGATATAATGTCGTGGACCAAATATAATTATATCGTGGGCCAAATTTGGCCCCTGGGCCTGAGTTTGACATGTCTGGTCTATTGTATTCTGATTCCTGATCTAGTCGCTGGAGAGAAATGAAGTTGAGAGGAGGCACTAGGTGGCACCAGTCTGGCCAATGAGGTGTAAGACTGAGGTGGGAAAAAAAAAAGAAATTGTTAAATGAAAATCAACTTTAACCCAAAGTCTGTTTTTTCTTTTCTGTCACACAATAATGCAGTGTAGGTTTGTTTTGATAATTTGCTGTTTTAACATCAAAAATGTTTTAAAAAGGCCAAATCACAGGGACACAAAGGTGCGTCTGTGTTGAGTTCGACGAAGTGTAGACTGTTTATCTTTTTGTGTCACCTTTAACCTCTAAAGAAAACATGAACTCACACTGGTTACGTTTGAGCTGTGCTGACTTGTCTTACCCATAACAATGACGACGTTAGTTTACAGTAAAACAGCACAAGTTCTGTTTAATTTGGCACCAAAAAAAACCCTCCCCCCTCTCCACAAACACACCTGTGGGGCGCAGGAGCCGTGCACTCTCTCGTACTTGTGTCACTGTTGCCAGCAGAGGGCACAAATACTCAGTTTAAATGTGGTTAAATACAAAAGCTGCTGGAAGTTGATGAGTTTAAAAACACGAAGGAGGTTGGTTTCTCGCCAAATGACCTCATGCTGTGGGTTGTTTTAAAATTTAAAGCTGCCGTCTGTAAGTTTTTTTTAGATTTTTTTTGTGTTACCAGTAGATATCAGATGAGAAACCTGTTCCCCTCACCTGTCCACCTCCTCACCTGTCACCTGACCCCTCCCCCCTCACCTGGTTCTCTCCTGTCACCTGGTCCCTCCCCTCACCTGGTCCCTCCTCTCTTACCTGACTGCCTCACCTGACCCCACTCCCCTCAATTGACCCCTTCCCCCTGACCTATCACCTGGCCCCTCCCCCTGTCACCTGACCCCTCACCTGACCCCTCCCCCTCACCTGGCCTTTGTTCAGACTCACCTGTCACCTGACCCCACTCCCCTCATCTGACCCCTTCCCCCTCATCTGTCACCTGACCCCTCCCAGCTCACCTGTCACCTGGCCCCTCCCAGCTCACCTGTCACCTGACCCCTCTCGGCTCACCTGTCACCTTGCCCCACACTCCTCATCTGACCCCTTCCCCCTCACCTGTCACCTAACCCCTCCCTGCTCACCTGTCACCTGGCCCCTCCTTTCATCTGCCCCGCTCACCTGTCACCTGGTCCCTCCCCCTGTCCCCTCACCTGTCACCTGGCCTCTCCCCCCTCACCTGTCACCTGGCCCCTCCCCCATCTTCTGTCACCTAGCTCCTCACCTGTCACCTGACTCTTTCCCCCTCACCTGTCACCTGGCCCCTCCGCCCTCACCTGCTCCCTCCCCCTCACCTGTCACCTGGCCCTCCGCCCTCACCTGGCCCCTCCGCCCTCACCTGGTCCCTCCCCCTCACCTGTCACCTGGCCCCTCCCCCTCACCTGTCACTTAACCCTTTCCCCCTCACCTGTTACCTGAACCGTCCCCCCCTCACCTGTCACCTAACCTCTCCTGTGACCTGGACCCTCCCCTGTCACCTAACCCCTCCCCCCTCACCTGGCCCTCCCCCCTCACCGGTCACACCTGACCCTTCCCCCCTCACCTAACCCCTCCCCCTCACCTGTCACTTAACCCCCTCCCCCCTCATCTGGTCCCTCTCCCCTCACCTGTCACTTGACTCCTCCCACCTTCACCTGTCACCTGCGCCCCCCCCCCTTCACCTGGCCCCTCCCACCTCATCTGTCACCTGACCCCTCCCCCTCACCTATCACCTGGTCACTTCTCTCACCTGTCCCCTCCTCTCTCACCTGTTACCTCCCCTCATCTGGTCCCTCCCCCCCTCCCGTCACCTAACCCCTCCCCTCTCACCCGTCACTTAACCCCCTTCACCTGGCCCCTCCCTCTCACCTGTCACCTGGCCCCTTCTCTCACCTGTCCCCTCCCCCCTCACCTGGTCCCTCACCTGTCACCTAACCCCTCCCCCCCTCACCTGTCACTTAACCCCCTCACCTGGTCCCTCCCCCCTCACCTGTCACCTCACTCCTCCCACCCTCACCTATCACCTGCGCCCTACCCCTTCAACTGACCCCTCACCTGTCACCTAACCCCTCCCCCCTCGCCTATCAGCTGCGCCCCTTCTCTCACCTGTCACATGACCCCTCACTTGACCCCTCCCCTCACCTGGCCTTTGTTCAGACTCACTTGTCACCTGGCCCCTCCCCCTCACCTGTGACCTGTCCTTTGTTCAGACTCACCTGTGTAATACATGAGAATACACATGCTGTATATAAAACTCTGTACGTACTTTGCTCTGACGCAGTACTTCTGTGTCGTCGTAGGTACCTGCGTCCGCTGCAGATGTGCGTCGGGGCCGTGGTGGTCGTCCTGTCCTTCCTGGGCTTCGTCTGGGCCGCGGAGAACCAGGCCCCCGTGCGGCGTTTTCGTAGAAACCACCCGGCGGTCTGCGTGTTTGGGATCCTGTCGCTGTGCTGCCTCCTGCTGGCCGTGGTGGGGAGCGTGGCCGTGTTTCTGTTTGGGATCGCGGCGCCCGTTTTCCGTAAGAAGAACACATTTTTATAAACCTGTACGCCGACGAAAAGATGTCAGCACCTGGAATTAAATGCAGTCGTCCCCTCGCTACGTCGCGCTTCACCGTCGCGGTCTCGCTGTTTCGCCGATTTTCTTTTTGGTGCAGTTTTGCGACGACGGGAACGGGGGAATAGTTACTGAAACAGGCGAGTTTTAACGTTCTGGAATTTTATGGGTGGGTAGTGATTATACACAAGCAGGTCAGGACTAAAACAGAACTAAACCAGGTCTAAATTAGGACTAAACCAGGACTAAACCAGGTCTAAATTAGGACTAAACCAGACTAAACCAGGACTAAACCAGGACTAAACCAGGTCTAAATTAGGACTAAACCAGAACTAAACCAGGTCTAAATTAGGACTAAACCAGAACTTAACCAGGACTAAACCAGGACTAAACCAGGACTAAACCAGGTCTAACCAGGACTAAACCAGGACTAAACCAGGTCTAAATTAGGACTAAACCAGAACTTAACCAGGACTAAACCAGGACTAAACCAGGTCTAAACCAGGACTGAACCAGAACTAAACCAGGACTAAACCAGGACTAAACCAGGTCTAAACCAGGACTAAACCAGGTCTAAACCAGGACTAAACCAGAACTTAACCAGGACTAAACCAGGTCTAAACCAGGACTGAACCAGAACTAAACCAGAACTAAACCAGGTCTAAACCAGGTCTAAACCAGGTCTAAACCAGGTCTAAACCAGGACTAAACCAGAACTAATCCAGGTCTAAACCAGGTTTAAACCAGGTCTAAACCAGGACTAAACCAGGTCTAAACCAGGTCTAAACCAGTAAACCAGAACTGAACCAGAACTAAACCAGGACTGAACCAGGACTAAACCAGAACTAAACCAGAACTGAACCAGGACTAAACCAGGACTAAGCCAGGTATAAATCAACCAGGTCTAAACCAGGACTACACCAGAACTAAACCAGGACTGAACCAGGAGTGAACCAGAACTAAACCAGAACTAAACCAGAACTAATCCAGGTCTAAACCAGGTATAAATCAACCAGGTCTAAACCAGGACTAAACCAGGACTACACCAGGACTAAACCAGGACCAAACCAGGACTAATCTTGGACTAGAACTTGGAAGTCAATGTCTGGGACGGACGCGATCGGGTGTCAGCTGCGTTTCGCCCCGTGGATCGTGGAGTTCTGTGTCGGTCCTTTCGCCCGCGGTCACCTGACGGTCTACACGATCTTCGGCGTTTCATCACTGCTGATATCGCCGTGATTTTAGCGAATTTGTATGAAGAAAAACAAAAAACCCACCACTTCAATCCAGGTTCAAAAGCATTGTGACGCGCGTTACTGACATTTGTACCGAGTAAAATATAATATTTTGGTAACACTTTATAATAACTACACCTTATTTAGCCTTAATAAAGCATGAACAAAGGCTTAATTAATAATGAACAAAGACTTAATTAATAATGATTCACGCTTAGTAACTACTTAATTACTACCTTAATTAGCACTTGCACTTAATTTGCCTGTGCTGTAAATAGTTACTCATAATTATTTCATACTTAATTACTCATGAACTAACCATTTGAGCATTTATTAATCATTAGTAAACTATGAGATAATGATTTACTAATAATGCAATGCAATGATAATTCAGGCAGCTGTTATCTGTTAGTTAAGTCTTTTTGAGAGCTTTTGAAGACGAATTATCCTTTATTAAAGGTTGTATGGAGGATTTTTTTTTTAGTTTCAAATTGTCAGTAAAAGTTTAAAACACCATTACAGAGACGCAGCAGCCTTGTAATTATGTTGACCAAAAAAATAATAATAATGAAAATCCATCAACTGTGGACGTGTTGAGGCCAGATAAACATCAGCCAATAGAAAACAAGGCTCCCTCTTTATCTATTGGCTGTTAGGTTGTCAATCAAACTCCCTGTGCTTCTAGTCTAACTGACTCGGGGATTACGTGGTTTATGCAGCGGTTCTTGGAGGCTTTTTTAAACTGTAGCTTCCTCACAGTTCGCACAAAGTTTGTTGCGACGGCGGGCGAGAATCCACGACCAGTTCGCCGTGAAAGAAAGTCAGTTTTTGAGGTCGCTGAAAGAAGAAGAGGAGAAGAAAAGGAGCGAAGCCAAACGGAGGCGATTCTTGGAGATTTCTTCCAGCGATGCCACGACTGAAGCAGACGAAGGGTCTAAAAACTGACGCGTCGGTCGCTAAATTACTTCCAGACAGGTCACTTCAACAGTAATTCTGAACGTGCACTGGATGTAAACAAGCGTGATTTCTAGAGTTAAGAGGCGGGAGGAGACGTTTCTACGGTGGTGTCACATGCATGCACAACATTTGGAAAATTATTTCTCTTACCTTAAAAAATCCTCTATACAACCTTTAAGCATTTACTAAGCGTGAATCATTATTAATTAAATCTTTGTTCATTATTAATTAAGTCTTTGTTCATGCTTTATTAAAGGTTGTATAGAGGATTTTCCAAGGAACGAGAAATCCAGCGACTGTTTGTACTTTTTCAAATGTTGCGCATGCGTGAAACCACCCCCCCCTCCCCTACAGCTCCTACGTAGAAACACCTCCTCCCGCCTCCTCACTTACGCCAGAAACAGGTTTGTTTACAGCCGGTGCTGCACATGACTTGTAAACAACTAACTACAGTGTTGGTTAGGCAAGACGGAGAAGTGAGGAGCGGGGGAGGGGTGCGGACATTTCGTTCGCGGAAGAAGTGAGGAGCAGGGAGAAGAAGTGAGGAGAGGGAGAGAGAGAGACGAGAGGAGAGAGGGAGGGGAGAGCGGTGCGCGGAGATTCCGTGCCCGGAGAAGTGAGGAGCAGGGGGAAGAGCAGAACGGGCAGCGGGGGAGAGGAGCAGGAAAGGGGTGCAGAGAAGGTTGCGCGGAGATTCAGTGCGAATGAACTAAGCTACAACACGCAGCAGCAAGCGGACTCTTTCTTTGCCTTGAAAATGACGTTTTCAGACATAGGATATCACATTCGTGTCCTGAAAAACGTTGTCTAGCTCTTGGAAATAAAGTAACGTTTTCATAATAAGCAGAGAAGTTTCCTGTCCAGGAGTAATTTGTGGACCAGTGGTTCAGTCTTTAGACCCTTCGTCTGCTTCAGTCGCGCCATCGCTGGAATGAATCTACAAGAATCACCTTAGTTTGGCTTCGCTGCTTTTCCCCTTGTCTTCTTCTTTCAGCGACCTCAAAAACGGACTTTCTTTTGCGGCGAACTGCTGCTGGATTCTTGTCGCCATTGCAACAAACTTTGTGCGAACTGCGAGGAAGATATAGGTCAAAAAAAGCCGCTAAGAACTGTTGCGTTGGTGGAGTAAACAGCGTCTGTGCGTCTTGCGTCTGTGGACTGTGTGACAGTCGTACGTAAACCACGTACCGGCGGCGCAGGCAAGTCAGTTACGCTAGAAACGTAGGGAGTTTGATTGACAGCCTGTCAGCTCACAGATAACGAGGCAATGTCGTTATCTATTGGCAAATGTTTATCTGGCCCCACCACGTCCAGAGTTGATGAATTTTTATTCTCTTTTTTTTTGGTCATCATAATTACAAGGCGACTGCATCTCTATAATCTATCACTGACAATTTGGAACAAAAAAAATCCTCCATACAACCTTTAAGGCTAAGTAAGGTGTAGTTATTATAAAGTGTTACCAATATTTTTTTTTCCCTGTAATGCCACATTACTGCGTTACAGCAAAAAGCAACACATTACAGTATTTCGTTACTTTTACAACGCGTTACTCCCGACTCTGGTGCTTCATGATAAAGCGTCTGTATACAGTAAACTAATTTTCGAACGTTAAATGTAGATCTTGTGCGTTGTCCTCCTCAGTGACCCTGGTGCACGCCTCGGTTCGTCTCAGGAGCCTGAAGAACAAGCTGGAGAACAAGCTGGAGAGCATCGGTCTGAAGAGGACTCCCATGGGCCTGCTGCTGGAGGCTCTGGGCCAGGAGCAGGAGGCTGGATCCTAGACCAGGTCCGGGTCAGGGTGGGCCAGATCCTCCTAGAACCAACCAACCAACCATCGAGTAAACAAGTAAACACTGTCTGGTCAAAACGTCCGTCACACAGAGGTTTAACAAGCACACAGGGCGCTCGCTGGTGCAACGTTTCCAGAAGGTCTCAGCTGATACTTTTTTGGCCCACAGCTTTGACCCAGCACAAGTAGAACTGCAATTAATTAACCAGAATAATTGTGATGACTAAAGTAATCGCAGACTATTTGAATAATAATCATTACTCTATTATCTGGACCATAAACAAACTTTAACTCTGCCCTTTGCTATGAAAACGGTTTTATTACAGCCGTTATGAAACCAAAATGAAGAATACCGTATTTTCTGCACTATAGGGCGCACTGTCATATAAACCGCACTGGACGATAAGGCGCATTAAACGAAAAACACAACAGTTGGATAAGTCAGTCGAACTTTATTTAACAACGGTCACAATAACTCAACTTTGTTCAATTGTAACGTGTAATAAAAATACTGTCTGAAGTTCACACCAAAGCGTCAAAAAACACCTTGACGCCTCTATTTGGACGCCTTTACATTTGAGTTTAGACCCCGACGCCCGTCTTTGACGCCGTGGACGAACTGGAGAAAAATACTTGACGCGCGTCCGTTGCCCTGGAAACAAGAGCCCGGTCCTGGTCTTTTCCCGAAACAATGTCAGACCAGACTGAGAGACTTTAGTGTTTTTATGACATAAAACATCAAGCGGAGGAAATCGACGACTGGGGCGTGTTTATATTTATACTCCACTAATGACTCTGGATCAATCCTGGTTTAGTCCTGGTCTAGTCCTGCTCTAATACCGGTCTATTCCCGGTCTAGTCCTTGTTTAGCCCCGGTCTAGTCTTGGTCTAATCCTTGTTTAGTCCCGGTGTAGTCCCGGTCTAGTCCCGGTCTAATACCGGTCTAGTCCGGGTCTAATACCGGTCTAGTCCTGGTCTAGTCCCGGTCTAGTCCTGGTCTAATACCGGTCTGGTCCCAGTCTAATCACGGTCTAGTCCCGGTCTATTCCCGGTCTAGTCCTTGTTTAGCCCCGGTCTAGTCTTGGTCTAATCCTTGTTTAGTCCCGTAGTCCCGGTCTAGTCCCGGTCTAATACCGGTCTAGTCCCGGTCTAGTCCCGGTCTAATACCGGTCTAGTCCTGGTCTAGACCCAGTCTAATACCGGTCTAGTCCCGGTCTAATACCGGTCTAGTCCTGGTCTAGTCCCGGTCTAATACCGGTCTAGTCCTGGTCTAGTCCCGGTCTAATACCGGTCTAGTCCTGGTCTAATACCGGTCTGGTCCCAGTCTATTCCCGGTCTAGTCCTTGTTTAGCCCTGGTCTAGTCTCGGTCTAGTCCTTTTTTAGTCCTGGTCTAGTCTCGGTCTAGTCCTTGTTTAGTCCTGGTCTAGTCCTGGTCTACTCCGGGTCTAGTCCTGGTGTAGTCCTGGTCCAGTCCTGGTTTAGTCCTCGCGATCGGCTCGGTGATTGTGGTGTATATATTCATGCTCCCCTCATGTTTGTGGTTCTCGTTCTGGTTCTGGGGTTTTTCTTCCTGATAATCACGTCGCTGCGTCTCTGGATACTCGTCCCTGATTGGTTGACGCGGCGCATCTGACACGCAAAAAGTTCAACATTTTCAACTTCTTGACGCTGACGCCTTGGACGCGCGTCTAGACCATCAACGCCAAAACACTCAAGACGCGCCTGCGTCGACGCCAGATTCGCGCCGCGCTGAAACTGCCGCAAAACGCAGGACGCTCTAGTGGCGCGTCCACATCGACTTTACATAGAAACTGGACACTTTGACGCCTTTGGTGTGAACGGCCCTTGAGACGCTAAATTGTCAGCGTATTCACAATAACTCAGTTGTTCAGTTAAAACTAAAAATATCACATTACACTCACTTTTTCAGTTCATTCCTCGTCCACGCGGAATAATAAATGTGACTACAAGTGTTTTTCACTGCACAGTCACTGTCGGCTCCGTGTGTGTTTACGAGCGCCGCAAGTGGTGCGGCTTTGTAGTTTACTAAAGTCGTACTAAGACACCCGAGTAAATTCATAAATAAGGCGCTCTGGATTATAAGGCGCAGTCATTTTTGGATGAAATTAAAGGCTTTGAAGTGCGCCCTATAGTGCAGAAAATACAGTACATATTTTGAAAGAAAACTCTATATGGTATATTTTAGCTTTAACTGATAAAATTAGATTAAAAAAATCATGAATTGTCAATTAATCCAAGAAGAATGACTAAGGTAAACGTTAGTTGCAGCAATTAATACAAGTCTGAGATTTTTCTGCTTATCTGAGTTGTGGTTTGTCATTAAAGTTAGAAAATGTGTCTTGTGTCTCCAGCTGAGAACCACTGTTGATCCTGTAACTTGTAACTTTAAAATCTCGGAGGAACATTTATTGCAACTTTGACTGAGCTATAATTTCCAGACAAACTCGGGACATGAAGATTTCTCATTAGTCCACAAGGAGGCGCTGACTTTATCGGGCCAAAACGATCCAAAAAGTCAAATTAAAGGGGACGTGCTGCGCTAAAAGTACCTCAAAAACACACCTGAAGAAGTTTTTTTTAATTCACACATGTTTATCTGCCAACGTAAGCAATCAGAAAGTGCTCCTCTGTGTTTTTAAAGTCCGCACGGGTCACGAAGTCTTCTGTTTTTTTGTTGTTTTTTTTTTCTTTATACACAACGATGCAAAGGCCAAAATCAGAGCACGATACGTCTCCTTTAACTTCTACGCATTTGCACTATCGCCGTATTTTTGAGACAATGTACAAAAACCGAGAGAGCGAAAAGAATTGTTTTGTAAAAGTAAAAATGAACAAAAAACACAATTTATTTTATTCTATTTTGAAAAACCAACATGTATTTGTCGTCTTTATGTCCGTTATTTCATGTGTATGTTTGAAGAAATTTGTTTTGTTTTTGCTCCAAACGAAGGAAGGTTTTTTTTTTTTTTGAGATTTCGTTTTTTATTTAACCACTGCTGCCTACGGACTTTTTATTTTGTTGTGCTAAAAAAAAGTCGCTCGAGTGTCCTGGTTATTTTAGAGTCCGTGAAAACGCCGTATCCTGATTTTAGTCTTCTGGATATTTCAGGATCCCGGTGATGAGAAACCAGGATCCTATCACTGTTTTTTTTTTTTCTGAGAGTGTCCAGAATCTGTGTATCATTCGTTCATTTGTTTTTTAAAATAAAACCAAAATGAAGAATGAAGAAAATGAAGAAAACAGCAATTTTCTTCATTATTTGTCTCCAAAACTAAAATGAAAAAACAGATAACAATTTGGGGTTTTTTTTTTGTTGATTTTGTGTTTAAATTAGAAAAATTTGAAAAAAAAAAGCGGATAACCAGGACTAAACCGTTTTTAGTCCTGGTTATCCGGTCTCAGTCCTGATCTGGTCCCTGGTCTCAGTCCTGGTCTGGTCCTGGTCTCAGTCCTGGTCCTGTTCCGGGTCTCAGTTCCAGTCTGGTCCTGGTCTGATCCCGGCCTCAGTTCTGGTCTCAGTCCCAGTCTGGTCCCGGTCTCAGTCCTGGTCCTGTTCCCAGTCTCAGTCCTGATCTCAGTCCTGGTCCTGTTCCAGGTCTCAGTCCTGGTCTCAGTCCTGGTCTCAGTCCTGGTCTCGTCCTGGTCTCAGTCCTGGTCTCAGTCCTGGTCCTGGTCTCAGTCCTGGTCCTGGTCTCAGTCCTGGTCCTGGTCTCAGTCCTGGTCTCAGTCCTGGTCTCAGTCCTGGTCTCAGTCCTGGTCTCAGTCTCAGTCTGGTCTCAGTCCTGGTCTCAGTCCTGGTCCTGTCTCAGTCCTGTCTCAGTCCTGGTCCTGTCTCAGGTCTCAGTCCTGGTCTCAGGTCTCAGTCTGGTCTCAGTCCTGGTCTCTCAGTCCTGGTCTCAGTCCTGGTCTCAGTCCTGGTCCTGTCCGGTCTCAGTCTCAGTCTCAGTCCTGATCTCAGTCCCGGTCTCAGTCCTGGTCTCAGTCCTGGTCTGAGTCCTGGTCTCAGTTCTGGTCTCAGTCCTGATCTGGTAAAAAATCTGAAAGTAAGAAAATGAAAAAACAACAGTTTTCTTCATTATTTGTTTCCAAAACCAAAAAATGAAAAAACAGAAAATGATTCATTTTCTTAGTTTTCGATTTTGTGTTTAAATGAAAAATGGAAAAAACGAATAACGACCGTTTCCCGTTTACGTGACTTCTGTGAGTGCAATGCCGGACTGAACCAGGACTGATCCAGGTCCGGGACCAGACTGGAACCAGACCGGAACCAGACCCGGACCAGACCGGAACCAGACCCGGACCAGACCGGAACCAGACCGGGACCAGAGCGGGACTGAGACCAAGACTGAGATCAGAACTGAGACCAGAGCGGGACTGAGACCGAGACCGGACCAGGACCAAACTGGGACCAGACTGGGACCAGACCAGGACCAGACCCAGACTGAGACCGAGACCAGACCGGAGGCTCAGAACCCACAGCAGGCCCGGAGCTGAGGCTCGGACCCTGCGGAGGCTCGGAGTCAAAGCTCGGAGTCTACTCTGGTCCCAATCTGGTCCCGGTCTGGTCCCGCTCTGGTCCTGGTCTGGTCCCGGACCTGGATCAGTCCTGGTTCAGTCCGTATGTGGTGCAAAAGTCCGGCATCGCAGTCACGGAAGTCACGTAAACGGGAAACGGACGTTATTTGTTTGTTCCATTTTTCATTTAAACACAAAATTGAAAACTGATAAAACGAATCATGATCTGTTTTTTCATTTTGGTTTTGGAGACAAATAATGAAGAAAATTGTTGTTTTTTTTGTTTTCTTAATTTTGGTTTTATTTTGAAAAACTAATAAACGAATGACACACAGATTGTCCTGCCCCATCAAATTACATTTCAAATATCTTGTGCTTCATTTCATGCTCATGTTATTATATTTTGTCATGTGTATTTAACTGAAACTACAAACTGAACTGAACGATAACAATATGTAAATATGGATTTTAACTTTTCACTTTGTGTTGTGAAACTGAGATATGAAAACTACAAAAGCTGGACTTTGAACATGAATTATGAAGACAATCTTGACGATATTTTGTTTGTTTTGTTTTTGTGCTTAAAATGTCGTAAAAACTTTAAAAGCTTTTGAGAAAACGTTATATTAAGAAATGTCAGTTCAACAAGTGTTACTTTTACGCTTTTTGTGTGTAATATTCAGAGGTAGAGTGGCCAAAACTATTACTTAAATTGAAGTAAAGTACCGTATTTTCCGTACTATAGGGCGCACTTAAAATCCTTTCATTTAACCAAAAAACAAGTGTGCGCCTTATAATCCAGAGTGTTTTATATATGAATTTATTGGGGGGTCTTAGTACGACTTTAGTAAACTACAAAGCCACACCACTTGCAGCGTTACGGCTTCCGTAGTCAGGAGCAACTTATTTCGACCAGGACAAAAAGCGTGGAATTTCTGGTACAAGTCATCGTTAAATGCGCATTTGTGTTTCGACATGTTGCAGACTGACCGACTGTTTGTGTCTCGCTCCTGCCGAGTTACAGACGCTACGAGAGACGCTCAGTTTAATGTCCCAATGAAAGGAAATGAAAACCTGACATTTGCATCACTTTATTAAAAAAAAATAAAACACGGACGTCCAGAACAAGACGTGGAAAACTTACATGTCCGGGTAAAAACAGATGTTTGGTCTCCCTACGCTACACACAGCGACCTACATTCAGTTTGTACATTAAAAATTAACGCAATCTTCGAAATTCTTAATGATCAATAATCAGTGTTGGGGAGGTGACTTTTAAAATGTAATCCCCTACAGATTACAGATTACACACACCAAAATGTAGTTTGTAACGTAATCCATTAAATTACTTAAAGTGAGTAATGTAATCTGAATACTTTGGATTACTTGATTTGCTGTAGAGAAACAAAGACGAGGAAATCTTCACATAAGAAGTTTTGTCTGATAAAAGAAAATAAAAAGTCCAGATTTTACTGAACCAAATTAAAAATATTATTGATAGAAGAAGAAGAAACACGTCCACACAGCAGGATTTAGTCCTGTTAAATCCTGTTTTAGTCCTG